AACTGGCCCCAGGCCTCCAGCGCCACACTGGGCAATGCAGACCTTGGTGGACATGACCCCTCCCCCCCCCCCCCGCCCCGTCCCCCCAAACCCGGGTCTCTGAACACTCCTAGCCTGGAAGCAGCTCCAGAGGCTCTTTCTTGACCCCTGTGTGTGCTTGGCCCTGTAGGAGCCCCCCGTCTAATGCGGAAGACTGACTCACGAGCACACCCAAAGTCAGGCCGACCTGGGGAGGAACCCCAGCCACGTCACGCACAGCTGTGGGATCTCTGAAGCCCTTCACTGCCGCGGGCCTCCATTTCCCCATAGCAAACAACAACCCTAAGCTCCCAGGTCAGCTACGATTCCACATCAAGCGGCAGGCTTGGCAGGCCGTGTGTGGAGGCCGCTGGCTGCCCATCATCGTGACCCCACTATGCTCTGCCGTCTCTAGGCTGACTTCCTCCTTGCCTCTGTGCCTGACATGCTGGCCACACTGCCTGACACCGTCCTACTCCCAGGTCCCTGGCCCCCCTCCCACGGGGCACGCCAGTCTACCCTGCAGTGAACAAACACTTGCAACACGGTGCTGACCTCTCAGCTCCATTGCATCAGTGTGGGGCAGTGCTGCACGGGGCCCAGCTGGCACTGAGGGCCCCCAGGCCTGGGAGGGGTGGGGCTGGCATGCTGGGCTCTCTGGCTCCCGGGCCCCATTTTCTATCCCACCGGAATACGAGGTCTGGAAATTTCCAGCTTAACTGTGAACCTCTGTCCTTCAGAGTCTGGGCCTCAGAGCTTCTGGGCAGAAATGGCCGATGAGGCGTAATGTTTCTGCTTCGTTAACTTTACTTATTTCTCAGGACACTGGAGTGGCTCAGTCGGTTGAGCGTCTGAGCCTTGGTTTTGGCTCAGGTCATGCTCTCAGGATTGTGAGATGGAGCCCCGCATGAGGCTCCGTGCTCAGCGTGAAGTCTGCTTGGGAATCTTTTTCTCCCTCTCCCTCTGTCCCTCCCCCTGCTCGTGTGCTCCCCCCTCCCAAGATAAACAGATTTTTAAAAATATATATTTCTCTGTCACACATTCATTGCAGAAAAACAGGAAATACAGATAAGCAAAAAGGAAAATAAAAGCACTTCTCTTTCCACCATCAGGATAATTACTTTACCATTTTGCCCTATTTCCTCCCGCGTGAACTAGATGTAGCACACGTCTATATGACAGAAATGGATCATGTCTATTTCCGAACCATTTCCCCACCGTTCAGACACCACCTCGGAACTTCTTGGCTCAAGACAACAGCTTTTATGCTTTTAGTTTCCGTAGGTCAGGAGTCCAGGAGTGTTTCTGCTTCGGGGTTCTGGCTCAGGGTCTCACGAGGGGGCAGCCTAGGGGCTCTGTCATCTGAAGGCTCGGCTGGGGCGGGTGGGGCTTCTCTCATGGTGGTTCCCTCACCTGCCTGGCAAGCTGAAGCTGAACCACTGGCTGGAGGCCTCAGTTCTTCTCAGTCGGCCTCCCCATAGGACCTGACTGTCCTCATGCCGTCTTCCCTCCGCGTGAAGAATCCCAAGAGAGCAAGGTGGAAACCACCTAGCCTCAAAAGTCACACTCTGTCATTCCTGCAGGATCCTGTGAGTCACACAGGCCTCCTCAGCATCTGGGGACCACATGGGGCGCAAGTACCAGCAGTGGGACTCACTGGAGGCCCTGATGGAGGGCGGCCACCACATTCTCTCTGACAGTATGTCAGGGACAACTTTCCATGCCAGTGGATCGATCTTATTGCTTTTAATGACTCATAAATGTAGCATAATTTATTGAACTGAGTCCCGGCAGCTGGATGGAAGGCTTATGTGCCATTTTTTCTTCCCGGAATCTCCACCACTGAACTTGTCAGATTATTTCCTAGAGGTAAATGAAGAAGAAAATGAAATTGTGCTTGCTGACCTAGTTTCATGAGCAGCCAAGGGCTGAGAAGACCGGTGGGAACACAGAGCGAGGTCCCTGGGATCCTGCTCTCTCTCCCCATCAGATGGGGAGCTCACTATTTACCGAAACATCCCAGGGCAAACATCCTAGGGCCTGGGGAAAGGGCTCTGGGGAAGGATGCTTGCTGGTCACAGTGCAAGGTAGGGAGGCCAGCAGGAGACCAACCAATGAGAAAGGGGCCTGTGTGCCCCAGCCCTTGTCCTCTCCAGCCTCCCAGAGGAGAGGCTGGAGGTTTCTGAGCCTCTTCTCAGGTGCTGTGTGCTCGCTCCAGGAGAAGGGCGGCTGCTTCTTAGACTGGCTGGTCCAGAAGGATCCCCACCACCCTACCCCCAATCCAAACCCAGGACAAGACCCATCATGGCACACATCGGAAAAACGGTGGCTCAGAGCCAGATGCTGGTGGGTCAGTGACCTGTCACAGTGGGTTTGGTGAAGTTGCTTTTGCTCTATTTTAGGAAGGGATCGATCGTGTCAAGGGCTTTCTCTGGGGTGACTACCCTGGCCATTGGCGGGAGAGTCTGGCACTCTGTCAGTCCACAGTCCGTACCCGAACCCCTCACGAGCTCCTGCTAATTTTAGCAGGGCCTCACAGGTGCCAGCATGTCCCTGTGACAAGTTCACTCCCACGGGGGCTGGGTCAGGGGTGGGGGACGCTGCGTGCTGTCCAGCATCCAGAGTGAGCGCTTGCCTGGGCCTCTACTGCCCAAAACCCAGGAATGACCTCCGGACATTTAGAGGCAGGTTTTGATGATTTAGTCTAGAAGCCCTGACAAGCATTTTTCACCTGGGGGTGGCCCTGGGCTGGGGCACAGCCATCAGGGCAGCGTCCCACACCCCTCAGTTTCAAAAACTCCTTCTTTTCTTCCCCGCCCCTCCCCAGTCCCTTGCTCAGCTCTCACTGGCCCAAATGAGGTATTAAGTACCCCCCCCCATTAATCCCGAGGCCTCATCGGCCCAAGGGACACACCCACGGGAGACGGGAGGGTGGGGGCAGAGCGGGGTAGGAGGGCAGCCTGGGTCTTTCCCGGCCTCCCCCAGATCTGCTGGGGGTTCCCTTGGCAGCCTGCAGGCCAGCCCATCCGGTGCGCCGCCCTCCACTGCGCTTTCCTGCCCCAGCTCCTCCGCGGACTGGAGGCAGGTAGACTCGTTCTGTCCCCTCCCCAGAACCTCCGGCACCGGTCCGAAGGCACCAACCCGCAGAGCGGGTGCAGAGAGCATGGGCATCGCCCCCGGTCTTGGCCCCGCTGCCCTGGTCAGCCCTGACCCCGCGCAGGTCCCCTTTGCCCTTCACCCCGCCGGACCCGGTGGCAGCGAGTGCGCATTTCAGCGGCTGAGGGCTGGCACTCTTTGCAGGAGCCCCGGGAGGCCTGCCGAAGGCAGTTGTGACGAGGGGCCCTCACTTGCCCAGGGGGCCTCGGGCTCTAGGCTGCAGCCTAGCCGTGCACCTCAGCAGACAGGGGTGTCCCCACCTCCCCCGATACCTACCTCGTGGCCCCTCAGAGAGATGGCGACGGATGCCCAGACAGCCTCGAGTCTGGTAGGGACCATCCCAGGGCAGGGCACTATGCTTCCTCCCGGTACACGGGGCGCTCGGTTTGGCGCTGGAGCCCTGGAAGGAGGCATCCAGGCTAAGGGGCAGCGGTGCCGGTCCCCGACCCCCTCCCCATGGCCCCCTCCTGACACCCACGGTATAGACTCTCCAAAAGGGGTCTGCAGGGATGGCGCCTTCTAGGGAACTTGCTCGCGGGGCTGCCAAGGCCAGACTGTCCCGAGCTCGGGCCTCACAGGCCCTCTGCCCCTTGGTACCCATCTCCCCTCGGCTAACGGTCGTCTACATGCACTGAGACCAGGCTCCCGGTTTGCCCGCCCCACCCACCCCACTTCAGGGAGTGGAACCTCTCTGGGGGCCCAGGCATCCGTGTGTACACAGTCCTTAAGGCCCCGGGCCTGGACGCGGTCATCCAGTATCCAGGTTGGAAGCAGTGGGAGGGGTCAGGCTATTTGGATGGGGATGATGGGGACGGCATCGGTAGCACACCTGCTCGCTGAATACAGCATTCATTGCTTTGGGACGTCCTCCCCGGGACTCAGAGAAGAAGGCAGGATACTTAGGGGTGCCCCTTCGTAACAGATGAGGACACTGAGGGGAAGGCCTGAAGGTGCTTTCTGCCCCAGCACAGTCCCGGGCGGCCGGCCTGTATGGAGTCGTGGGCCCCTGAGGACCAGGGGATGAGGTCCCTGTGCAAACGCTGGGAGGACCTGTGGGTTCCAGTGCCTGTCCCAGCGTTGCGGGGCCAGTGTGAGCCTGTCGTGGGTCCAGCGGCAGCCTGACTCTGAGGCTTCTGGGAACCCAGATGGCTGTGGACATACAGTGGGTGACCCTGGGGCTGTTGCCCACATGTTCCTGGAGTAAAGGATGCCCAGTCCAGGAGAACCAGGTGGGGGAGCCCCTATGTCAGGGAGCACTGGGCAGCCTGCCTGGAACCTGGGGGAGACAATCAGGCAAGAGAACCCCGCCCATCTTTGGATGTAGCCATGAGCCCCAACGATGTGTCCTGTGACCTCCTGGCAAGTGGGGGTGGGGAGGGGTTATGGGAAGAAGGGGGGAATAGGCTCTGAGCTTTGTTCCCCCAAGGCCCGGCTGGGGGGAGGGGGGCAGGGAACTTCTCAGGGCTACTGGGGCAGCACCCTGCCCTCCCAGGCCACCCAGGCAGGTTCTTCAGGCCGGCTCGACTGGCAGCGGCATGACACTCCCAGGAGACTTCTGTGGCCGGCCTCAGGCCCTGCTGGGAGGGGCTGCGCATCTGCCGCTGCCCCTCCCCGTCCAGCATGCCTCGGGCCACACGTGATTTGGGGCTGCCCTTGGAGCTCTGCCATTCTAGGTTTTCGGCTGGTTCACGGGGAATTCGAACAGAGGGGTCATCTCGGACCCAGGGCCAGGGTGCAAAGGAGACCCCGGTGTGCGTGGGGCCCCGTGAGTCGGGGCGTCCAGGCCCCGGCCCCACGTGGCTGCCGCCCCGCCCCGCCCCCCACAGGCCGAGCAGATCCTGGCGGACTTCCAGCTGCAGGAGGCGGACCTGAAGAAGGTGATGCGGCGGATGCAGACGGAGATGGCGCGGGGCCTGCGGCTGCGGACCCACGAGGAGGCCAGCGTGAAGATGCTGCCCACCTACGTGCGCTCCACCCCGGAGGGCTCAGGTTGGCCGGCGGCGGGCAGGGAGGGCCCCGGGCCTTGCTTACGGCTCGGACCTCTGATGCCCCTACTCCCTCTCTCCTTCTCTCCCTGGACTTGGGGTCCTGCCGGCCAGAGCCCCAAGGCTGATGCCCGTCTCCCTGTGGCTGCAGAAGTCGGGGACTTCCTCTCCCTGGACCTGGGCGGCACCAACTTCAGGGTGATGCTGGTGAAGGTGGGGGAGGGCGCGGAGGGGCAGTGGAGCGTGACGACCAAGCATCAGATGTACTCCATCCCCGAGGACGCCATGACCGGCACCGCGGAGATGGTGAGCAGCCGGGCTGGGGCTGGGGGCCGGGGGCTGCGGGCCGGGGGGCCGGGGTCAAGTCCGCACAGGATCTCTGAGCTCGCCAGTCCTGGTGGGAGGGCCCACCTATCTACCAGGGCCAGGGGCACCCATGGGCAGCACAGCCAACCAGCCTCAGAGGGCCCAGGGAGGCAGCTGGCCCCAGCAGGTCACCTCCCTGCTCCGTTTCCCAGAAGGCTCAGACATGTGACAGGGCGGCGGAGAGAACGTGCTGGTCCAAGCAGCCCGTGCGCCGACTTCTCCCCGTGTGCCCCCCACCTGCCACCAGCAGGGACACCAAGTGGGGTGACTGCGGTCATAATGCTGCCCAGGCGGGAATGCTACCCTGCCCGTGGGGAGGGCTCAGGAGAGGGTACAGAGGTACAGAAGTACCATGACCCGGGGAGTGGGCAGAGGCAGAACCCATCCCCTGGGGACCAGGGTTTCAAGGCAGGCGTCCCGGGGCGGCCACACCCCTGCATGCGGTCAGACTGGCCATGAAGCGGCAGGGCTGGTGTGGACGGTGTGGCCAAGTGGGGAGCGTGGACGATCAGCAGGGCGCGGAGGAGTACCCGGGGCTGGGGCCAGGCCCACAGGAGCAGGGTAGAGGCCAGTCCCCAGCAGGACCGGGCGTGGGCAGCCGGGACACTTGGAGGCAGCGAAGGCCACTCTGGGTGGTAGAGACAGAAATCCGGGAAGAGACAGCCACAGCTGTGCCTCTGTCCTAAGTCTGTGGCTGGACGTCACAGGGCCCAGTGGGAGGGACAGGCCGACAGCGCACAGCTTGGCTGGGGACCAGGCCGGTCCTGGAGTCGCACTGTCCCGGGGGAGCGGAGGGCAGGCGGGGAGGCCGTGCTCTCCGGGGCCCACATGGGCGCTGCGGCCAACGGCCTGCTCGGGGCCTGTCTCCCAGCTGTTCGACTACATCTCCGAGTGCATCTCCGACTTCCTGGACAAACATCAGATGAAGCACAAGAAACTGCCCTTGGGCTTCACGTTCTCCTTCCCCGTGAGGCATGAAGACATCGACAAGGTGGGGCCAGGTCGGGGGTGCGGGGGGTGGACGCGTTCCCCAGAGAAAGACGCACTGGGAACTCCCCGAGGCTTCAGATGCAGCCCCGTGTTGGGAAAGAGCTTCGCCCTCAACCCGTGGCTCTGTCACTGGCCTGTTGTGCGACTTTGGGGAACAGATCCGGCTGGTTCTGTTTGCCTGAACCAAAGAGCCCCTGAGGCCAGCAGAATTGTCCCCTGCTGCAGATTGGGCACAGGCGAGCGAGCGGGAGGAGGGCGCTGGCAGGCAGCACAGCTGTGTGACGCTGGGCCACCAGCGTGGGCGGCAGGACTGGGCTGGGCCAAGGCTCCACCCGCCACCGTCCTCCCCCCCACAGACACACACACACACACACACACACACACACACACGCGCGCGCGCGCGCACACACGTGCACATTATCCACGCACACGACATGCAGAAGTCAGCCGCACACGCACCTGTACGCACACACGGGTCAATCACATATACACGTCTACCCATCACGTCTACATGTAAGGACACATGCAGACACGTGTGTGCACCATACACGCATGTGCACACGCCAAGGCCATGTGTGTACGCAATGAGCGCACACACACACATGCGTTTATGCGTGTACACACATCAGTTACACACATGTGTGAATTACACACACACGTCTATGCACATCAACTGTGAACGCACACGACACACACACGACCTCTCGGAGAGACAGCCAGTGCAGGGCTCCTTGGTTCTCCACGGCCGGGCCACACAGTGCACGAAGGGCAGCAGGGGCTGGCCGTGCAGGGGCCCAGGGAGACCCTCCAGAAAGGGGTGACGCCACTGTGCCTTACTGTCTTCCCCTTGGGTGTACTGCAGGGGAGGGACCCCAGCCTTATACAGGCGGCTGTCCAGACCTCGTCCTCACTCTGGGTGATGCCCCGGGCTTTCCCCTGGAACCGCTCACGTGGGCTGGAGGCCAGCCCTGCAGGAACAGACGTATTCAGACAGAGTCGCCTCCGCCACTTCTCAAAGCCACAGTCCAGCTGAGCGGGGCGCCTCACCCTGCCCCTCCTCTCCCCTCAGGGCATCCTCCTCAATTGGACCAAGGGCTTCAAGGCCTCCGGAGCAGAAGGGAACAACATCGTGGGGCTCCTCCGTGACGCCATCAAACGGAGAGGGGTGAGGCACCCCATGACCGCCCTCAGAACCCCCCTCCCCTCTAGTCACGACGCCAGGGACAGCCTCCTGGGCGACTCTCCCCCCGCCGGACGAGCCTGGAGCAGCCCGAGCCAACACCCCAGCCCGATCACTGTTGCCTCTGGGCCTCTTGGCAGGACTTCGAAATGGACGTGGTAGCGATGGTCAACGACACAGTGGCCACCATGATCTCCTGCTACTACGAAGACCGCCGGTGTGAGGTCGGCATGATTGTGGGTAAGGACTCACGCGCGGCTCTGTCGGGGGCTGGCAGCACACAGCCTCGGCCCACCTTCATCCCCGGCCCTGAGGCGTGAGGGCCGAAAGTCCTGAGCCATGGGCGATGGTCAGAGCAGGGCTCCAGTGCCAGGTGTGGACGGCATAGGGGGCAGGATGTGGGGTGGTCTTGGGGAGAGGCGGGGGTGTCCTGACTGTGGCTAGTATATCGAACACTCACAAGTCCCGGCATCAGAGGACACCCTGGCTAAGGTCTGTGGGGCCCATCGAGATTTAACTACATTCCCCTCGCTGGTAAATTGACCAAACCGACAGATGTGTCCCCGTGGAAGAGGACAAGCATAGGTGACATCGTCCCCTCCTAGACGGTCTTCCTGTCCCCGTCCGAAGTGAAGGCCAGGAATGGAGCGGCACCCGCCCCTGCAGGCCTCAGCTCTTCCCAGGAGCTCTTGAGGGTCCGGAGTGGGCACTGAGCGCGGCTACCGTCTGGTCAGTCATGCCCGGGCGTGCAGCTGCTGACTCCGGGCTCTGGCTCCCTGGAAAGTCAGTGGCGAAGTCATTTGCCCCGCGGGGCCCCCAAGAGCTGGCCCTCACACCCGTCTCCCACGGCACCCACTGGCCTCGCGCCGTCCTCCTCTCACTGCTCACATCTCCTCGTTCCATGTTCGACTTTCCGACGGAAAGCCGTCTCCGAGTCCACCTCCTAAATGTGAGTGGCAAGAGCCCGCTTCCCGGCGGTCCCCTTCAGAGCTGCCCGGGGTAGCTGTCGGGCCGCAGCTCCCCGAGACACCCTGCCTTGGTGTGTGGGCTCTGCTGCCCCTGCCTCGGGCACAGCCCGACCGGAGCAGGGATGGCCGAGGCTGGCCTGGGCTCACCTGTGCCCTGCACTCACTCTGCTCAGTGCTTAGAAACAGGATAATAACCAAGATCCCAAAAATGGGCGAATGCCCATCAAAGTCTGGATTTCTGGGGTTTTCACACACACACACACACGTGCGCGCACACACACACGTGCGCGCGCGCACACACACACACACACCCCAAAAAAAGTGGACGGCCGGGCATCCCTGGACCCGCGGTGTGCAACGGACTCTGTCAATTCCAATGCCCCCCAAAACAGGGCCCAGGACAGAAGCTCAAGCACATGCATGTGAAGGGCCAAGAAACAAGGCTGCTGCGTAACCGAGATAAAACCATGCACATCTGTAGTTGGCAAAGCACCTCGCCCCGTTTTGCTCTGTCCTCCCAAGCACCCGGGTAATAAGGTGTTACCGTCCCCTACTGGGGACGAGGAACAGCCCAGAGGGATGTGCTCATTGATGGGGAGGTCACACAGCAACTGAACCGCCTTCCCACTCTGCCAGGCCAGGCAGTGGTGGGTGTGACAGCAGGGAAGCCGGGAAGCCAGGGCCATAGAGGGCTCTGCGGGGCTGCAGGTGGAGAGAGTCGGGAGAGGTGGGCGCCCAGGACTGCACCTGCTCCCCCTGCTCCCCCACCCCTCACCCCTGCGGCCTGGCCCGCGGCCCCCACAGGCACAGGCTGTAACGCCTGCTACATGGAGGAGATGCAGAACGTGGAGCTCGTGGAAGGGGACGAGGGCCGCATGTGCGTCAACACTGAGTGGGGCGCCTTCGGGGACTCCGGGGAGCTGGACGAGTTCCTGCTGGAGTATGACCGTGTGGTGGACGAGAACTCCCTGAACCCCGGCCAGCAGCTGTAAGGACCACCGGCGCGGCTCCCCCTCCCGCCTGGCTCAGGCAGGCAGATAACGGGCTTGTTTCTAAACGGCTCTGGGGAAAAGCAAACGACAAACCTTTCTCAAGAACTGGTGCCTCCCCCTCGCGCTAGGCGCCCCTGTGAACCCGGCACAGGGAAGTTTGGTCCCCAGAAAGAGGGTCTGTGGGTCGATGGGCTGGGATCACAGGTCAGGTGGCCCAGCCGGTGACCACTGTGGAGGGAGGCTCTGACACCCCCAGTCAGTGCTCACAGCGTTCAGCCCAGAGCTCCCAGGAGTAGACACGTGTCCCCGGTCACGGCTCCGTGAAATGCTGCGGGCTGGTCTGAATGGTTTGAGAACCAGCCCTGGGAAGCTCCTCCGGTCCCGCGAGCCTAAGGAGCCGTGTAGCCGCTCAAGCCTTCGTGCGCTCTGGCCACTCCGCTGAGCCGGTGGGATTCCGAGCGCGTAGAGACAAAGACGCAGGGCATGCTTCTGCCCCCTCGGCGGACTCCAGGAGCCCAGGGCCCCAGCAGGCACCAGCGCCTCTGAGCCTGAGCTCCCCGCTCCGGGCGGGTCAAGGAGAACAGCACCCACCGCGCGGCGGTGGGAGGATGGCGTGGGTTGGGCGCGGGGCCCCGGGAGGAAGGCCGCAGCCTGGACCGCCGCCCCGCAATAGGGCAGGGTTGGTCCCGAGGCCCCGGAGCGCTTCCTAACCCTGAGTCCTGCTTGACATAAACGAGAGTGGGCGCGCACCAGGTCTGGAAGCGGGGTGTCCCAGTGCCCTACCTGGCCTCCTCGGGGCTGCGCGTGGGGTGACCCGGCCGCCCTCCGTGCAGGTACGAGAAGCTCATCGGCGGCAAGTACATGGGCGAGCTGGTGCGGCTTGTGCTGCTCAAACTCGTGGACGAAAACCTGCTTTTCCGCGGGGAGGCCTCGGAACAGCTGCGCACGCGCGGCGCCTTCGAGACCCGCTTCGTGTCGCAGGTGGAGAGGTGCGCTGGGCGCGCAGGGCTAGGGGCAGCGCCGAGGCGTGGGCGGGGCCGAGGCGTGGGCGAGGCCCCGGGATCCCGGCGAGGGTCCGGGGCTGCTCGTGGCCCGCAGGGGAGCACGTACGTACCCGGGCCCAGGGCACAGCCCACGCATCCCCTCGGTGGCTCCCCACCGCCGTGGAGATCGTCCCACTTCCTCCACGCGCCAGCCCCGAGGCGCGCCAGGGTCGCCCACGTTAGAGCGGAGGGCCTGGGCTTCGAGCGAGGCACAGTGACCGGTAACTGGGGTCCTCGGCGGAATCGGACCCGCTCCCGTGCGGAGTGTGAGCCCCGCCTTCGCCTGGGTGAGGTGGGCAGGGGGAGGGGAGGAGGCCGCCGCCATCGGGGTCGGGGTCGAGAGACCCTCCAGCGACACCCCCCCACCCCCCCGCAGTGACTCTGGGGACCGCAAGCAGATCTACAACATCCTGAGCACGCTGGGGCTGCGGCCCACGGCCACCGACTGTGACATCGTGCGCCGTGCCTGCGAGAGCGTGTCCACGCGTGCCGCGCACATGTGCGCCGCGGGGCTGGCGGGCGTCATCAACCGCATGCGCGAGAGCCGCAGCGAGGACGTGATGCGCATCACCGTGGGCGTGGACGGCTCGGTGTACAAGCTGCACCCCAGGTGAGCCCCCGCGGTCGGTCCGCGGCCCCGCATGCGCCTCGGGCGGAAGGCGAGTGGAACCCCCAGGGTTGTCCCCGGGCCCCCTGGGCTTACTGCTCCGGCTGCTGCGGGGGCGGGGCGGGGGTCTGCGTGCAGGGGGAGGAACGGCAGCCCTGCTTCCCCTGCCAGCTTCAAGGAGAGGTTCCATGCCAGCGTGCGCCGGCTGACGCCCAGCTGCGAGATTACCTTCATCGAGTCGGAGGAGGGCAGTGGCCGGGGCGCGGCCCTGATCTCCGCGGTGGCCTGCAAGAAGGCCTGCATGCTGGGCCAGTGACCGCGGAGGCCACCAGGCAAGGAGGAGGCAGTGGCTCGCTGGACCTGGGCCCCAGGGGATGTGCTCCCCACAGATGCCCCCACCCTCGCCCAGGAAAGAGGTCTCTCTTTGTGAGGACCGGGGACGCCTCCCATCCCCACTGCCTCCCCAAAAGATGGGGAAAGGCCCACGGGGGATTTCGGGGCCCCCCCGGGAGGCCTCTTGTCTCAGAGGCAGTTGGTGGGACAGCCCCTGGCCCTAACTGGGTTTTGGGCTGAGGTGAGCAGGCATGGAGACCCCACAAAGTCCTTCACCTGCGTGACGGAAATCAAAGACCAGGAGGAGAGTCACTCACTCAAGACTTGTCTGCATGTCCACACTGCGTCCTCCTGGAGCCTTCAGCCTGACCCAGCCTCGCCCGGGGCCTGCTCTGGACGCCCCCTCTCCTGCCTGGGAACTCAACCCACTGGGGAGGCAGCTGACCTGGCCAGATCTAGAGTGGGGCTCCACAGGGGGCCAGAGGCTGCCGGCACCCAGGCCTGGCTGTTTTTATGCCTGCTGGGGACCGGGAAATGGGAGAGGACCAGCTCCACCCTGGAGGCTGCTTGTACCCCGAGGCCTGGAGATGGTGGCCTTGCTGCTCTCCTGCCACCATCCATGAGTGGTTTGTGGCTCTGGGATGGACCCTTCCAGGTGGTGCAGGACACAGAGCCCCTATAGCCCCTGTGTGCCCAGAGGGACCCCTCTCCCCTCTCACCCCCGAGCAGGCCTGGGAGCACCTCTGTGATGGGGTCCTGGGCTCCCACAGGGCTGACGGGGAAAGAGAGGTCAGCACTCCGCACGCAAGGGGCCACCCAGGCTTCTCTTTTCTCACCAGACCTCTGTGCGCCACACCAAGCTCCCACACCCAACCTGTGACTGTGTGGCTTTTTTAATTAAACGTTTTAAAAGTTTAGAACATGGCGTTGACCAGTGTCCTTTGATCTTTGGGCATAAGGGCAGGGGGACAATATGGAAACATGGTCACATGTGCACAGATGTTCCACAAGCCTCGGTGTCTGGAAATTCACCATGCCCTCCAGCCAGCTGTGCTGGGGAATGTGAAGGGACACACTGGGCTGTGGGAACAGAGGTGGCCTCAGCGGGAGGGTGGTTGGACACACCAGCTTGGCCTGGCCGTCTGCGGGATGTGCGTGGGGACCCACAGGCTCTAATTGCCTCTGGGAGCGCCTGGGAAGGAGTTGGGGGCCCGGGTGCTGCTCTGGGAGGTGGGACAGGGCTGGTCTCCGCCGGGGCCCCCTGGAGCCACTTGGGTTGTGACAGTGATGGGAGGAGAGGAGGGTGATTGCCGAGGTCCTTCCAGGGGCTCCTGGGCGACGTGCCTGCTCTGAGTTAGCTGGGCCAGGCCTGGCGCCCTCTCTCAGCTATGCCCCGTTAACCTGTCACGTTGTGGGGTTAGACCATACGCGCTCTGCGATGAGAGGAACCACAGACCCGCAATGACTGTTTGATTCGGAGCTCACCCCAGAGCCGTGGCTTTGAGACGTTCTCTGGTTTTTCCGGGTGTCCTGTGGGGGACCAGGGCAGATCGTCTTAGGTCTCCTGAATCTCGGTTATGCACTGGGATGTCGCACAAGGGTCCGGTTACTGCACAGCAGTCCTTCGGTCTCGGCATCCGTGTTGGACCCTGTGTCGATGTAAGCTACTTCTCTTTTTTTTTTTTTTTTAAGATTTTATTTATTTATTTGACAGAGAGAGATCACAAGTAGACAGAGAGGCAGGCAGAGAGAGGGAGGGAAGCAGGCTCCCCGCTGAGCAGAGAGCCCGATGTGGGACTCGATCCCAGGACCCTGAGATCATGACCTGAGCTAAAGGCAGCGGATTAAACCACTGAGCCACCCAGGCGCCCCCGAAGTAAGCTACTTCTTAAGCTCTTTTCCCTGCCGTTCGGAGGCTGCTCTTGATTTTTTAAGTTCCCTTTGAGAATAGGTTATATATTTTACGGATTTCATTTCCGGAGAGAGAAGGAGGTATCGTCAAACTCTTTTTGTTGCACAAAAGAGGCCTGGGGTCCCATGGACCACCCAAGCGCCTGCTCTACCAGCTGGCCTCTGCACTGTCCCCCCCCCCAGGGGCAGGGCGCAGTTGCAAAGAGCCCAGTTCCAGGGGAGGGAGGACAGCCAGTGGGCCCTCTCCTCTGCTCCGGGTTCCAGAGGGCAGCCAGGGGCCCGTGACGTCTGTTTTAGAAGGTCCCCAGCCCCCAGCCCTTTTCGGGGCCCTAAAGGAGCAGGCAGGCCTGCAGCAGAGTGGGATGAGCCCGGGACCTGCATGGAGCCTCACATGAAGGACTCAAGACCACTTTCTTGGGGGTCCAAGGGGATGCTTGGGGCGCAGGTCGTGCACCGTGTTCCAAACATGCCTCGCACACAGATTCATTTGGGGTCACAGCCAGCTCAGGGCTGCCTTCTGTCCTCCGTCAGAGGGACCAGAGGCCAGGGCCCCCGTCCACCCAAATTCCGGGAATCCCTGGGGGTCTCAGGCCAGAGACCATCCTCAGAAATACCCATTGCCCTTCCCAAGCCCAGTAGAGGCCTCAGGCCAGTCCTCCGCACGCTGTCCTCTTGGATGGGGCAGGTTCTAGACTGGACCTGCAGGAGGGACAGTCAGGTGGGGGTAATACGGGAGACTTCTCATTCGGAGCGATACCTCATTCAGCACCCAGAGCGGCGGAAAGCTGTGAGCCTGTGAGCTCTGCCCTTGGGAGCCGTTGCTGCTGGATGGGTGGATGTCTGGATTTTAGACATCAGGGGGCCCGAAGGTCACCAGGAACGTGGCTGGAATCTGCCTGGGGCCCTGTCTTCCCCCAGCTCAGGCAGGGCTGCCAAGTTTGGGCTTGTCCTCTCTTCCTGTCCTTATTTGGCGCTCCAGGTGATAAGACTGAAATGTAAAAGGGGCTGCGGGCCCCTTGTAGCAATTCGGCTGCCACGGAGAGAGGATGGTGAGTGCCGGGGGGTAGCCAGAGGCCAGCAGGCTCCCAGGTGTTGTCCAGTAGGCTGGGGGAAGAGAGCTGGTGACGTCTCTCCTCGCGATGGGCCTGGAGAGGGGGTCTCCAGAGGTGGGAAGAGGAGCCGGGCCTAGGAGTGCTCTCCCAGGAGTGCTCGGGAGGTGTGCGTGGGAAGGGAGGAGTATTTGGGGAGCCGGGGAAAGGGCCTCTCCCCACCTACAGTGTTGCAGGCCAGCAGGAAGGCGGGGACCCGGGGCAAGGCCGCAGCCACCAAGCAGGCCCAGCGAGGCTCTTCCAATGTGTTCTCCATGTTTGAGCAAGCCCAGATCCAGGAGTTCAAGGAAGTGAGTGCCCCCACCCCAGCGGCCTGGGACCGGTCCTGACACCCACCCTGCCTCTACCCCCTCTTCTCGGTACTCAGTACTCAGTCGTCCCGGCCCCTCCCGGTCCGTCCACCCTCCAGGACCCCTCCCCACCTCCGGCCTTCCCCGGGGTGGGGGCTGTTCCCTCTGAAGGACGGTGCTCTCCACCGCCCAGGCCTTCAGCTGCATCGACCAGAACCGTGACGGCATCATCTGTAAGTCAGACCTTCGGGAGACCTACTCCCAGCTCGGTGAGTGCTTTCACCTTCCCCTGCTGGCAGAGGAGGGGGTGGCTGCTCACACCAGGGGAGCGGCTCCGGCTCAGGGGGCTGGTGGGAGCCCCACTGAGAAAGCACAGGCCCCCTGGCCAGGCAGCGCCTGCCTCCCTCCTTCCCTGCTCCCACCTCTCTCCCCCTCAGTCCGCTAGCACACACCTCCCCTGCACTGGCCACAGCTCCCCATTGCTTCACGCTTCTCCCCGGTCTGTGGCAGGGAAGGAGGGGGGCCGGCCTGGGCAGGCGGGGAGCCTGGCCGGCCCGTGTCCATCCCGTGCCCCGCTGCCGCCAGGGAAGGTGAGCGTTCCGGAAGAGGAGCTGGACGCCATGCTGCAGGAGGGGAAGGGCCCCATCAACTTCACCGTCTTCCTCACACTCTTTGGGGAGAAGCTGAACGGTCAGCCCCGGGGGGGGGGTTGGGTCTCCCGGCCTGGAAGCCACCTGAGCCCCTCCCGAGCCCCACCCAGGCCTCGACTGGACTCTCCTTGGCCCAGGCCCACCCAGGGCCCATGGAGCTCTCCCCTGCCTCCCCGACCCGTGGGCACTGGTCACCCCGACCCAAGTCCCAAATCCTGGTCTCCTGGCCAGGCTGCCCCAAGGGGAGGTGGCCCTAGCCTCTCCTCTCCTGGGACGGGACAGGCCTCTTGCACCCCGGGGGGCCTCCTGGGTGGGGGCTGGGAGGCCAGGGGCACCAGTGCTCACCTGCTCCCCCCCGCCTGGGCTCCCAGGGACAGACCCCGAGGAAGCCATCCTGAGCGCTTTCCGCATGTTCGACCCCAATGGCAAGGGTGTGGTGAACAAGGATGAGTAAGTGTGTGAGAAGGGGCACAGAATCTGCAGGGGGCCCCGGGGGAGGGCGGCCACCTGGGCCGTGGGAGCCTTCATAGCCCCCCGACCAGGCCAGACTTTGGCTCTCCCCAGGTTCAAGCAGCTTCTCCTGACCCAGGCAGACAAGTTCTCTCTGACTGAGGTGAGGATTCTGGTTCCTTCGAGGCCCTCCCCTCCCCTTCACAGGGCTCTTAGCCGCAAGGCACTGGGCTGGGAGTCAGTGGGGAGGGTCTGGGGTCACAGGTCTCCCTCGGGTCACGGGTCACCCCTGCTGGCCACCGCAGGCCCCCCAGCCAGTCTGCCTCTGACCACACACCCCCCCCCCCAGGTGGAGCAGATGTTCGCCCTGACGCCCATGGACATGGCAGGGGACATCGACTACAAGTCTCTGTGCTACATCATCACCCACGGGGACGAGAAGGAGGAGTGAGCTCGACGCAGCTGCGACTCGGGGCCAGCCCTTAGGGACACCACAATAAATGCTGTTTTCCAATCACACCTGCAGTAGTGGCCTGTCTGGGATGGATGGGGTGGGGGCCAGCAGGGGGAGTGGAGGGACTCAGCCACTTGGCGGCTCAGCTCGGGCCACCCCAGACTGCTCCGCAATGGTGGGCCAGCGTGTGCCCACTTTATGGGTGAGGATACATCTAGGAGACGGACTGCGGGGCTTTGAATGGCCTCCACCAGGCCCGCACCAGCCACATGCAGGCCCTGCGCTCCGCATCCATTCTGCTAAGGGCCCCACTGGTGGGCCTCCCTGCACCCATGTGTGTGTGTGTGTGTGTGTGTGTGCGCGCGCGCGTGTGTGCACACACGTGCATGCTGGGCCCCATGTGGAAGACGCAGGAACCCATCCAAAAACACAAAGTTACTTCATTTTGGAAATGCAAGCAAGGTACACACCAGAGCATGCAGACTTGCACGCTTCCAAAGGAGAGAGGAAAAGCCCGCATGCTTGTGTCTGTCGGTGGCGGAGGGTGTGGGGGTGTGGTAAAGGCTGGAGAGAGGGAGAGCCTTTCTCTGGAAAGGACTGTTGGTGTCCCCCCCCCCTCCCCCCCGTCATCTGCAGAAACCAGGGTGTGGAGGGGACTTGGCTTATCTCAGGAACTGCAGGGCAGCAGGAGGGGAGGAGGGAGAGAGGCAGTCCCTTGCGCAAAGGCGGACCTCCCCTCCCCCAGCCTGGCTGCAGCCCCCGAGCTGGGAGGTGGGAAGAGCTGGGAAGCGGAACACTTTCCTTCCCTGGAGACAAGCAAGAGGAAAACCATTTTCACCTGGAGAGGTGTTCGGTCTTTGTTTTTATCTGGGACTTGACGATTTTAATTACAACGCTGAGACTTGAAATTCAAAGTTCTAGCACTTTCTCATGCTGACTCATGATCATGAAAGTCCTGGAGCTGCCGGAGCAGGGATGGGGTGGGGGGTAGGGGGGCAGGGACACAACCAGGCCAGCTTATGAGCCTCCATTCGCACCTGAGTTCTGCTTGTTCAACGAACTGATTTCAGAAAGTCAGGCATAATTTAAGCCTCTGCAGAGAAACGTGAGACCCAGTGGACCGCTCGCAGGCGTCTTCCATGCAGAGCAGAACTGCTGGTTCTGTGGGGCTTCTGTGACCTCCTCGTCGTCTTTAAGTCGTAGGTGACCAACAAGGCCACAGGTTCCCATCCCTAGACCTGCGACCACTTTGGTCTCCCCCTTCTCCGCAGAGGAAGCCAGCTTTGCACCTGTGTGGAGAGCAGCCTCCTTCCAGCATCCCTGAACGGGTCCCTTGACCCTGAACACACGGGTCTGAACTACAGAGGGCCACTTACGTGCTGACTTCGTCCCGATAAATACGAGACAGCACTACATTCCCTCCTCGTTATGGTGTTCTTGATGCTCTATTTTCCTGGGCTTCCTTTACGGCAAGAACGCTGGGCATGACACACATAACACAGAATGTGCAGAAACTGACCGCTCGTTATTGGTCCCCTCGGAACTAATGAGTACATAAAATCTGGGTTGTTGTTGTTGTTTTTTAAGATTTTATTATTTGAAAGAGGGGGAGTGACAGGCAGAGGGAGAAGCAGGCTCCCCACTGAGCAGGAACGCCCCCCTCCATGCGAGTCTCCAGCCCAGGAGCCCAGGATCATGACCGGAGCAGATGGCAGCTGCTTCACTCCGAGCCCCTCAGGTGCCCTGAGTACCTAAAACCTGTGACAGGTGTTCACTGCATATCTGTATGCAGGTCACAATTCTGCTTTCCAAAGTTTTCTTTTCCCACTCCTGCTGTAGTTATCTGGTAAGGTTAACCCTTTCTGCACCCAAACTGCCTGTATTAACTAGTTTGGAGCAAACTGAGAGCCGAGGGTTCATGTGTGGGGGGCCAACGAAAGAGAGAAGCAGACAAGGGGAACAGGCCGGGACCGGAGAGAGGCCCGGAGTGCCCGGGATGGTAGCCACTGGCCACCGTGCCTATGGAGCCCTCGAAATGCACCGTAAGTTGAGATAGGACGATGTCCTGAAGATGTCATGCAAAAAAGAATGGAAAATATCTCATTGAGGATTTGCACATGGTTCCACGTTGAAAGGACACGCTTTCCAGGGTTGGGCTGAAAACAAGCATCACTGAAACCAGTGACTCCTGTTTCTCCTTCCTCCCTGCCGTGGGGGTGCCGTGTGTGGCCCTCATTTCTGGCTCCTGTCCCTTCTCCACTGGACGTGCCGTTAGCTGTATGGCCAGCCTGCCGACTCCGGGGCGCCCAGAGGCTAACCCAGGAAACAGGCCAGGCCAGGGCTCTCTGCAAACCCAGCCACCCGAAGCCCGTTCGGCAGGCTTACATCTGCGTGTTCTGCCAAAGCGAGGGAAGGTTTTGTGTCCAGAGCAGAGGCCATACGATCCTGCTCACAGAGGGCCAGGCCTGGGAGTGCGGCCTTGTTGGACACACACCCGAGGGGCCAAGCTCGGGGACTCGGGGTCCCTCGCCACCTGTGCCTCCAAGGGAAACCTTGTTGAGGTGGCATCCAAATCACCCTGACTTCCCGTTCTCCTGTGAGCCCCGGAAGCCTCGCTGCTGTAAGGACCACCGCCCCCGACCCCTGCCCTCCTCCGCCAGGGGCTCACACTCAGGGGCTGCAAGTGAACCACCACCCCATCTTCCCCAGTGCCCTGCAGGCCTAGATGCAGAGGCTGACGTCCCCAGAAGCTGCCCAGACCCCAGAGAGAGAGAGACACCCCCCCCCAAGCACTTTTGTTCAGGGAGACCCCGGAGGCTGTGGGCCTTGGAGTCCCTCACCTGGGCTCTGAGCAGTGGCCGGCAGGGACCCCTGTAAAGGCAAATGCACATTAAAACTAAGACAAAGTTAATACTCCCTGGTCCGAAAAAGGACACAGATTCTCTCCTCCCGTTTCTTAGCGCATTCTCCTTAGAAAGCTCGTCTTTCCCTGTTTTTGCGTCCATCCATCAGACGGCTAGAGAAGCCTCTGGGCAGCTGTGGAGCCCGGTTAGGGCCCCGAGGAGCCAGAAGCCTCTTCTCCAAGGTTTCCCAGTTTCCTGCCTCACGCACCGGGACTCCAGCAAGCCCACCTCTGGCCTGAAAGGGGGGGGGGGCAACTGTGGCTTGCGTCCGGACAAAGGCAATTAGCAAACCCAGCTCCCTGGAAACACCGCAGATGGGCCCGTCTGGGTGAGAACAGGCAGGATTCCCTATCCCTGGGATCTCTTAGCAGTGGTCAATGACGAGCACTGAGCTGTGGTTTAATACTTACCCAGTGACTTTTGCCGAGAAGTTCTCTGCGTTGGTGGACACTGTTTCCAGCCTCCAGAGCTGCAGGCTTGCTGGAGGGCTGGCCGGGGGGGCTCTGGATTTTACCCAGAGACCCCCTCAACCCCCTGCCCAGGCCCGGGCCCTGTCCCTGCGCCCCAGAGCTGGTGAGCGGGGGCTGTGGCCCACACGGTCCTGCTGCAGCATTCACACCAGGGTGGAGCTCGGGACAGGGCGTGAGGAGTCGGCGTAAGCAGCGACCGCAGGTGGCGGGGGCTATTCTGAGGCACCACATGCTCGAGCACTTGTCCACCGCCACACAGAGCCAGGCCGGTGTGGGCGCCCGTCTCCGGGAGCATTCGCAGGCCCATCCGCCGCCAGGTCTCCAGGGGTTGAAAATGAAGACATCCGAATGACACAGCACTTGACGGCACCCAGCGCGCCCTCCCAGCCTCCTCGTGGGAGGGCGGCCCAGAGCAGGTCCCCATGACACTCGTTCTAGTTCAGGGCCAGAGGGCTCGGCCGTGGGGAAGGGCCGCTGCGACACTTGATTTCACGTTGCTGACCAGAGGCACTGATGGAGGGACGTGTGGGTGCACCAGTGCCCCAGACGGTCTTGGGGTCCTGTCTGCTCAGAGGACCTGACCATTTCGGAGCACAAAAGGGCAGAGAGGCAAGGCCAGAGACAAAGACGCCGGTCTCAGGTGGTATGTCCCCCGGAAGCCACAGGTCGTGTGCGCACACCACCCGAGGGAAGTCACAGGGTAGTTACCGGGTCCGGCTGGTCAAGCTTCTGTGTTGCTGCTGCGATCAGAAGGCCCGGCCTGTGTCTACACCCGGGAACCCCGGCTGGCTGGGGGCTTGTCGGCCTCAAGCAGCCTGCTGGTTCTGCCCGCATGCCTGAGAAGCAGAGGCCACCTCACTGAGATGAAGCCCGGGATACAAGCTCACATGAGGGAGAGGCATGGCTCTCCGCCTTCCAGCTGGACACAGACCTCAGTCCCGTGGCCACGTCCACATTTAGGCGAGAAGAGCTGGGGATCGCCTAGACGCTGTGGGAAATGAGGAACTGTTGTTGCTTAAGTTGGAAAGCCATGGGGCGGCTTCTCCCATTCGTTCTGACCTTCCATTATAGGAGTTGAGGCCGGCTCCCACCGGTCACCACTCATAGACCCCCCAGGGCAGCGTGAGTTGTGATTAGGGACTCCAGGGATGAGGGCCTCTAACGGAGGGCCCAGGCGAGAGGGACCTGAGCCGGAAGGTGCTAGAACAGTCCCGATGGCAGCTGGGGTCGTGGCATCTGAGCCTCTGCCTGGCCTCTGGCCTCCCTGGATTCAGGTCCCAACCCAGGCGTCCCTTCCCCGGAAAGCCACCTCCTGAGCCAGGTCAGGGCTGCTCAGCACACCGGGTGTGCCCGGCCCAGCCTGACGTAGGCCAGCCTGGCTTCCCAACAGCAACAGGGACAGGGACGCGTCCACCTCTAACACCATGCCTGGCACGCGGCCAGTGCTCAGGGGGATGTGTAGTGAGTGAGCAGGGCAGCGCTAGGAATCTCCAGACTTCTGGAAGCTGAGACCAGCAGGCTGTAGACCCTGTGAGTCCCCAGAGCCTGCTACCTCGCGCAGTTGGTGCCCTGCTGCTTCCCTGGCCCTGCCCCCTCGGGGGTGGCTGCAGGGAGGAGACGCCCTGCCAGCTTCTCTCCCCTCCGCCCCATCCCACTGCACTCTTCCTGCCCTGTCTCCCCCGCCCCAGGGGTCTGGAACA